ATTTTATAGTGAAATGCTTGAGGAGTTTGTTGTTTTGTTTCGGTTTTGTAGATATTCAGCATGCGATTTCGAAGATCAATCCGGAGGTCGTGAAGAATGTGATTGCTTCCGCCTCTGCGAATTCGAAGGAGGAGCAGCAGCGTCTCTTCCCGGCATTGCCTGTTTATGCGCCAGCTTCAAGGTGTTTTTCTTAATCTCTTCCTTTTCCTCAATTAGAGAACGACCGGAAAAACGGAAATGAGTGTTCTGATGATTTTTGTTTTTCTGTTAGGACTACTACTGTGTCCTCCGCCGAGAACGACGGTGGCGAAACGGCGCCGTTGACTATCTTCTACGACGGAACCGTTTCCGTTTTTGACGTCCGCCGTCTCGAGGTCCGTTGATCCTAACCTTCATTTTCCTTGTTCTTTGGTTATTGTTTAGTTCTGGAATCTGGAATTCTAGTTAGAGTGATAAAATCAAACCGAATAAATTTTTATATGTAGGCGGAAAAAATTATCAAGCTTATTCAACAAGAAAGCCTCTTTAAAACTGCTGACTCGGCCGATTCCAACCTCGCAAATACCGATGGAGGTTAGCTTTCTCTCTTTCATATAGTTTAATTGATTTATTTATCTTTTTAATTTTTTTAACACATAACTATGCGTAGATTGAACATGAAGGTGTATGCATTTCGTATGCTTAAATTGTAGAAATTTGTGTACAGATCTGCCATTACAGAGGAGGAAATCTCTGCAAAGGTTTCTGGAAAAGCGCAGGTCAAGGTTGGTACTAATGCTTAAATCTTAATAATAATCTTAAATCTTAAGTATAATTGTTTTATTATATCTTGTTATGTAAGTCTATTATCTGCTTTTCTCCTTTATTTTCTATTAATATATGGCCATTTCCATATAAATCATAAATTGCATGCATCATACACAGCTGCAGATTTTGGTGAAATCCACCTGTAGAATCTCTTCTAACCTGAAAGAGTATTTAGTGTCAAGTATTAAACGTACTCCTTACATTAATTAGACCTCTTCAAATTATCTTCAAAGAATTTCTACAATCCTCGTTCAACCTCCTCAGGGTTTGAATCCGCTCTTGGCTCGCGACGCCAACAAAGTTGCTTTTAGGAGATTACATTAGTTTTCAGGGGCTTCGGCCCTTCATCCTACCAAAACAAAAAAAGAGAGTAAAAATAGCGATTTTTTTTTTAATTTTTATTTTACTTTACACTTATTATACTTGAGAATTTTGAGTGGACGTTATAGTTGTCGAGACGGCTCGCAAAAGGTCTCCATATGGAGAGGTGGACTAAAAAGTCCGTTAAAATACAGGCCTAAAATCGGTTGCCCCGCCTTAGGCCGTGTGCTTTGATCGGGCTCATCAAATTTAAAAAGTTTTAAATTTAAATAAAATTAATATAAACAAGTTAATTAAGTGTATACTATGGAGTAAAATAATTTGAATAGTTTAAACATGCATTAATGCATTTGTAATTTATTGAACATAATAATAACTAATGTAGTAATAAGTGTTAATAAATAATACATAATATGTGAATGATAACAAATAATTTATATAATGTACTACTTACTAATACATTTTTAATGTAAATAAATAAATAAATATATAAAATGATGTATGTATCTACACTAATATTAATAATATATAATTCTTCCGTCCTATTTTATGTGTATTTTTTATTCAACGAGGCTTGATGATGTATTTTTTATTCAATTTTTTATAATATTAAGTTTAGTTTTGGTATACAAAATAAGAATAAAATAAATAAATAAAGAATAAAAAGTTGGGTTGATTAATAAATAATAAGTAGGACATATAAAATGAGACAGAATTAATACATATTAGGTAGTTTTAGGAGGATGGACTAAAATATCTGTCAAAATAGAGTCATAAAAATTTAGTTTGCTCCGCCATTTTAGCATAATGGAACGGGGCTAAGCCTATCTTGATGGGTTATCCAAGAATACTCGGGAAGCAATACTGTTACCACGTGACGGTGTACTGATTGGTAAAAAGAAAGCCTTGCCTGCCCCCCGTAGTACAATTTTGTGCCCCATACCAGAAGCATGAGTATTATTTTAATTATTTGTTAAGAAAAACGTGGGTTTTTGAGAAATTTATTAATTACCCCTGGTTGGCTGGCCGGCCCAAGCCTCTAATGGCCAGTTGCCCTTTCCTTTCAAATCACGCTTTTCCTCACACTATGTCCCACTCCATATTTGATTCTCTGTATTTAGTCTATAAAATTCCTGGATGGGATATCTTCTCCGAGTATCAATTCATATCATGGGGAGATGGTGGAGATCGACGGAAATTGACATGTTTCACTGCTTTGTTTTTACTATGGGCTATGAATCTTTGGCACGTTTATTTGTTTAATTAAGGAATAAGGTTCAAATTGGCCACTGAACGTAACCTGAAAATGCAATTAGGCCACTGAACAAAAACAAAGTGCAATTAGGTCACTGAACACTCCAAAAATGTGCAATTTCACCTGATAGCAGGTTACCCTCAATTTTAGCAGGTTATCTGCTTACGTGGCAGCTGAGTTGGCATTTTTAATAAATTTTAAATTATTTTTAATAAATTTTAATAATAAATTTTTATTTAAAAAAATAAAAACGACTTTATTTTATTTTTTATTTTTTTTTTCAATTTTTTATAAAATTTATTATTAAAATTAATTATTAAAAATTATTTAAAAATTATTAAAAATGCCAACTCAGCTGCCATGTAAGCAGGTAACCTGCTAAAATTGATGGTAACCTGCTATCCGGTGAAATTGCATACGTTTGGAGAGTTTAGTGGCCTAATTGCACGTTTTTGGAATGTTCAGTGGCTTAATTGCACTTTTTGTTCGTTCAGTGGCCTAATTGCATTTTCAGGTTATCAGTGGCCAATTTGAACCTTATTCCTTTAATTAATTAATTAAATTCAGTCATTGAGGACTTCTTAGGACCCTCTTTGACTTGAATTTATGTTAGGCTGTAAAAAACTAAGAATGGTGCCTTTGACCTCAAATGTTGAGAGTCGGATTTACTATCCATATCCGAATGATGCATGGGTATTTAGTTACTGTTTAATTACTACTCCGAAGTATTAGTTTGTCATTATGTTTTTGTGATTAGTTGTGTATTGATGTGTTTTACTATTCATCTAGTCGTGATTTAATGTGGTCAAGAAGGCGAAATTATTTGCCTTGCCAGCGCAGGGAAAATAGCTTTTCCAGGGGATTAATAATTGTTCCCCCCTCATGCTAGTTAGAACTAAAAGAGATTCTCTTATTAAACTGATTGGATTGGACAATAATACTAGTAGGAGTTTGGCAAATGAATAGAGAATATTAAACGGTGATGAATATTTTGCAGATTGGTTATGGTGTCACCTTATGGTTCTCCGTCTGAGTAGGCAGTCTCAGGCGACACTGCTCAAGCCTAGGAGGAAAAAATGTGCAGTGGTACTGATGATGATAAAGAGGGCAACTTTGACTTTCTTCTCAAGCTTGTCTAGTTGTCTTAACTAAAATAACGTGGCTTCTGCATTTTACTTTTTAGTTACGTTCTCTTTTTTAACAGTGCTTTGTTGCCTTGTTAGAACTGCAATCGCGCGTTTAAGTACTGTTTTTTTTTTTTTTTTCGTTATCTTTTTTTAAGAAAATGTTTGCACCCACTGTATATACGTGGTACTCTTTTATCGTGTTACCTGCACCTTTGCCAACTACCACTTGCTTGTTAATTTATTGCCATTATGCCAGTACGAGGATGAGAAAGTGCCCTAATTAATCTAATTTTAGATTACAAACCAAAATTAGGTTTAAATCAATTATATCTCTTATATTTAAAGGAAAAGATCATTAAGACGGAGTCAAACAAAACAAATACAGCTCGTCTGAAATTAGCACAAAAGAAAAAGAAACACTTGAAGTCCAAAAAAACTCATAAAAATACCATGATTATATTTGTGCATTATAAAAAAAATGGTCAAACATATGCATACAATGCATGATTAATTAAAATTTTAATTAAAACTTTGACTTTGATTGATGTTTTAAAATAATGAATGCCAAGAATCTCACATTAAAAAAGTAAAAAAAAAAAAGTTTATAATGTCATTATTCATGAGTCATGAGTAAGATTATTTAATTGAACATAAATTTGAGTTTAGTAAAAATATAATATAATTATAAGTTGTGTAAGTATGAAACGTAGTAATAGTATTTTTTTTTAATTTTTTTTTGTATCTATCTATTTTGTTGTTTAGATTAGATTTTGGAAGAAGAAGAAGAAGTAAAATGGTTAGGGCAGCTGGGCAGATGCCAGAATTTTATAGTCTCACACAGACACACACTAGGACCTAATTGAATGTTAGTATATTTGAGAATATAAAGTAAAATAAATTCAATTTCTTAAAAATTTCAAATTTAAACCCCTGTAAATACAAAAAAATAATAATATGTTTTTATTAATATTTTCTAAATTATGCCAAGTCATTGTTACATTGGATGTCAAGTTATCGTCACATATCAGTAATTTGCTGAATATGTCAAATTAAAGCTCAATTACACTTTTTTTTAATACTGATTTGAGGGGTCTCAATTTTTATTTTTTATTTTTAGTTACGGGTGCAATTGTACTATTTGATCCGTTTAAAGCACTTATTTGGCCAGTTTTCATAAAATTATAAACAAAATTTGGGACATATTTGGTTATCTGGTGCGTTGTGATAAATAGTGCAAGTACGTGTATCTCTAATATTTAACAACATTTAAGATAGACTTAGCTATATAGAAAGTAATGCGTATAATCAGGAGTCTTTAATAGGTGAATATGTGACCTATTGTCATCCCTAATATGATATCCATTTAATTCCCAGCTATAACTTACAGATTAAAGATATTATATTGCCAAAAATTAAAAAACAATTAACGGAGTAATAATACAATATATAAGCTTAAAGCCCAACAATTACCCATCTTCTGTCGTGCTCAAGTAGCTCCGTTCCTATTACGCAATCGCCAAGTTTTGTTGCAGTAGCAAACGCATGATCAGGCATATACTCACTAGACCACGACCATGGCTAGACTCTTCCATGTTTCCAAAATCTCTCTTTTGGATTGGGCTTCCGGACAGTGGGTTCTCATCGCAAGCTGCTCAGCTGACCCAAGAACCAGACGCCAACTGGGCAATCCAGCAAGTTCCGGAGTTCGATTCTCGTGCGTACGCATGTATGCTTCAAGATTGCGTCAAGAACTCTCAGTTCGCGTTGGGAAAATCTCTGCATTGTGATATTCTGAAGAGAGGTGGGAGTTTGGGTCTGTACGGGCGGAACATTTTGTTGAATTTTTATGTGAAGTCTGAGTTGATGTCTTGTGCCCACCAGTTGTTCGACGAAATGGCGGACAGAAACATGGTTTCGTTTGTTACTTTGATTCAGGGTTATATGCGGTTAGAGCATTACGTTGAGGCTGTTGAGTTGTTTGTTAGATTGCACAGAGAAGGCCACGAGCTCAACCCCTTTGTCTTCACAACAATTTTGAAGGTGCTGGTGAATATGGAGTGGGCAGAGATGGGATGGGGCATCCATGCGTGTATTTATAAGCTTGGCCATGACTTGAACCCCTTTGTTGCCACTGCACTAATTGACGCTTACTCTGGCTGTGGGCTTGTTAAAGCTGCTAGGGAAATCTTTGATGGGATTGTTGATAAGGATATGGTTCTGTGGACTGGAATGGTTACTTGCTATGCAGAAAATGGTTATTCTGAAGAAGCTCTAGAGCTATTCTCTGGGATGAGATTGGCAGGGTGGAGACCAAACAACTTTACCTTTGCTAGTGTAATGAAGGCTTGTCATGCAATAGAGGCCATTGACATGGGGAAAAGTCTTCATGGGTGTGTTTTGAAGACGAATTATATGGTGGATCCTTTTGTTGGTATTTCATTGCTTGACTTGTATACAAAAGCTGGAGACATTAAAGAGGCTAGGTACATTTTTGAAGAAATTCCCAAAGATGATGTAATTCCTTGGAGTTTCATGATAGCACGATACTCACAGAGTGACCAGTGTGACGAGGCTTTGGATTTGTTTTGTCAAATGAGGGAAGCATTGGTTGTTCCAAACCATTTTACTTTTACTAGTGTACTGCAAGCATGTGCAACAATGGAGGCTATGGACCTGGGAAGGCAAATCCATTGCCATGTAACAAAAGTTGGTCTTGGTTCAGATGTATTTGTATCAAATGCCCTCATGGATGTATATGCTAAATGTGGAATGTTGGAGAGCACAGTGCAACTATTTACAGATTCAGCAAACAGGAATGATGTATCATGGAACACCATCATTGTTGGCCATGTGCAAATGGGTGATCATGAGAAGGCAATGCATCTGTTCACAAGTATGCTTGAAGTCCAAGTGCAAGCTACTGAGGTCACATACTCTTCTATCCTGCGTGCTTGTGCCAGCCAAGCTGCATTGGAGCCAGGTATGCAGATACATGCATTGACTGCAAAAACTATTTACGGTCACCATGTTGCTGTTGGAAATGCCCTGATAGATATGTATGCAAAGTGTGGGAATGTTAAGGATGCTCGTCTGGTCTTTGATACACTGAGTCTGCGAGATGTAGTCTCTTGGAATGCTATGGTCTCTGGATATTCCATGCATGGTTTGGGTAGTGAGGCTCTGAAAGTCTTTGAGAGGATGCGAAGCATGGATATCAAACCTAATCAGTTGACTTTTATTGGTGTTCTTTCGGCATGTAGTAACACAGGATCATTGGATCTAGGACAATCTTATTTCTCCCTGATGCAAGAGCACTATGGTATTGAACCTTGCATAGAGCATTATACTTGTATGGTGTCACTTTTAGGGCGATTAGGTCATCTTGACAGAGCTGTCAAGATGATTGAGGAGATTCCTTATGAGCCCAGTATTATGATATGGCGTGCTTTGCTTGGGGCATGTGTTCTCCATAGTAATGTTGAACTTGGGAGAACTGCTGCTGAACGTGTTCTTGAGATGGATCCACAAGATGAATCGACCTATGTGTTATTATCTAACATGTATGCCACTGCAAAAAGATGGGATAATGTATCTTTTGTTCGGAAAAGCATGAAGAAGAAACGAATAAAGAAGGAACCAGGACTAAGTTGGGTTGAAAACCAGGGAGTTGTTCATTATTTCTCTGTTGGAGATGTTTTGCATCCTGATATTAAACTAATTCATGCAATGTTGGAGTGGTTCAACATGAAAAGCAAGGCTGCTGGTTACATTCCGAATCTTGATGCCGTTTTACTTGATGTTGAAGATGATGAAAAGGCACGGCTTTTATGGGAACATAGTGAAAGACTGGCATTAGCTTTTGCTCTAATTAGAACTCCTTCTGGAAGCCCCATTCGTATTATTAAAAACCTCAAAATATGTATGGACTGCCATGCTGCAATCAAGATTATATCAGCTCTCGTGCATCGAGAAATTATTATTAGAGATATAAACAGGTATCATCACTTTCAGGATGGGATGTGCTCTTGTGGTGATTATTGGTGACACGGGCTCCTTCTTAATAGTCATTGGGTGCCATATTCATGGAAGACAAAGCTGGAAGTTGTTCTTTCGGTGGTGCCTTAGAAGTCCCCATCTTCTTGATGAAAATCTGAAAAAACATGCTGGTACTGCTTTTATTAATCATTTATAATCAAATTATAAGCAATGCCACGATTATATTGAGCTTGCAGACGCTTGATTAATCACCTCTTTAGCAAACTCTTAATGCTGGTATACCTCTGAAAGTCTGATCTAGACATCTAGTAGAGTTCTTATTTGGCATTGCTTGCTAAATTTGTAGGTATGATTTGATCATCTGTATCTTTGAGGGATGGATCATTTACAAAATTAGCATAAAGGAATCCAGATCTGTTTTTCATCTAAATGTGTGGTGTATGAATCGCATTTACTGGGAGGATTGCAGTCATATTTTGTCATAAAAATTTGTGAGCTTGGTGCATCTAGGCTATTGGTGAATTATTCGGTTGTACCTGCTACACTGCGCTAATTGAGATGTTAAGAAAGCATTGCTCAAGATCTGGATGGCCGTCTGAGTGTCTGGCTAAACTAGTCTTCATTTCAACACCATGTTCTGAAGGTGCAAGGTAAAATCCACTGAGCATTCAATCTATTATTTTTGTTACATGTAGGACATGCAATTTGAGAACTAACGTCGACTTGAGATCCTTTTTTAATAGTTACCATTTTTTTTTTTCCTTTATTGCTGATAATGCATTTGCTGAAGTGTGAAGATTATGCGGACCACTAGCAATTCAATAGTTCCTGACAACTTTTATTGTGTCCCGTTAATTGTGATAATGATTGTTGTTGATACTGTTATTGTTATTGTCATCGTTATTATCATTATATTTTCAGAACTTCTGGACCTGTAAGTTCTACTAATTCAGTAATGACAGATCTACTTTAGAAAAAAACACTTCTTTCTCTGCTCCATGTTTCTCAAATCTACTCATTCAATATATTTGTCTTTTGTCTGAATATATTCGCTTAGTAAGGAGTACTTTTAGCGCTTCTCCTCTTCTGCTGTACACCTGTACCTCTAAGACCCAATTGTGTATGAAATATGTTGTGCACCTTAGCATTGGATTCAAATTTTTTTTTTTAAAGGTGTGTTTTAGGCTTTAGCATTACACAACATACAAAGCCTACTTCTAACTTCTGTATTATCTAATGCCATGATACTGACCAAAAAAATCCAAGTTGCAAAGGCAACATACTTTGACATCTGGTAAACTTCAAATCAGATATTACATAGATGGACAAACAAGAGAGACAGTATGTGAACATTTAGAAAAAATGTATGAAAAATTCAATCCACTTATTCGGTATTTTGACCAGTAATAGTTTCAAAATAGCATGACTAGACACATTCTTATCTGGATCTATTTTTGACATTAAATTTTTAGCATGCCGAAAATGAATAGTTAGCCACCCCACTTTTTCATCGTGGAGTATGTTAGCCAATTAGCAGTTGAAACGTGGAGAATGCCTCAGGCCCTAAGTAGGAAATTGAAAGATACGTTGCCTTGATTTTTTTGGAGGGAATATTGAGAATGTTAATGTCAACAATTAGTAATGATAGCATAGATGTGGTTTTCTTAGTGGCGAATTTTTAATCATTAACAGTTGCACTATATAAAAAAGTATCGTGATCTTCCAAAATTTGGTTGCTAGGGAAAAATTTTGTTTGTGAGGCTGAGGCCCAACAAAAATCTTTTCTTAATGAAGTTATTGTGCTTATCTCTTTTCTTGATCTGATGCTTGCTTAAAAGTTTTCTACTACTAGATTCCTGCTCAGTGAAGAAAGGGATAAAAGTTTTAAATCAGTAAAAAGAAAATGAAAGACAAGCGAGCTAACACAATGAGAATGAAACTCTATTGTCCCCTGCACTTCTGTAATTGGGACATTTTCAAAAACGCAGTCAAATGCATAAGATTGATGTTATTTGAAGTTAAAAAAAAAAAAAAAATCAAGGTTGTAAAATTAAATTGAGAAAAGTGTGTGAAGGAAAGAGAAAAAGTTGGATCTCAAATTGATGATATTTACATTGGAGGACATTTTTTTGGGTGGGTTTTGGGATGAGAGGGGTGGTGGTGACACATTATACTCATTAATTTTTTTTTACATGATGTATGGATGGAAGTGAGACTTTTCTACATCATAAGGGACTGAGGAGGAGCTTCCCACCCTCTGACTAGATCAATGGTGCATACTATAAATGAATATCCAAATTAAGTTCAATTCAATAATTTGAGTTCCCTGAAAGCAACAGTTTAATTACTGATAGGAAATATGGTCTGTAGCTACATTCATGCTGTATAAGTGAATTGACAGTACAACAATAAGTCTTAACATTCTCTTGTTACCTGTTCTGACACTGTACCAACTACCATCTTAATAGATAGTTCAATCTGAGTAATTAACTGCTTATATTTAGATTATGCTTTTAGCCAATACTTACGACATCAACCATTTTTGCAATGTAAATATGCATGATTTCTTCTGAATTAGATGCTAGATGGTTCATTACTGGCAGGAATTTATGGGAACTTTTTATGATAGATTGAACCTGATGGTTGTTTTAATAAACCATATTATTTTGGGTATTCAATAAAATAGCTAATTACCATCAAAAGAACAATTTAAGTGTAATAGTGTATTGTGTATATTCCTTTTTGTTATGGATTTTAATAAGATTCTACAGTTGCGCAAGGATTTAATGACAGTTTGCCAAAATTTTTTATTGGTACTATTAGTGTCTGAGTAAGTCATTTGAGTTACTCAAAGCTTCATGATGTTAAATTAGTGTGTGATGTTAAATGAACATGACTTAGAGATTTCTGCTGTTTGCTTGAAGTCTGTCTGTGTTTGCTAATCTAACTGTAGTTTTAGTATGGTAGCTGTTTTCCCTACTGTTTTGGAATTTGCATCTTATGTTGAATTGTGGGCTGAGGTGCATCCCATAAGTTAAAGATTATGTGTCAAAAGAATGTATACAAGTTATCATCCTCAACTACTTGGCAGTGCATTGTTAAACCCAATAGCACAACAAATAGAAAACCTAGAATGATCATCATTGTTGTAGATAGAACTATATGTATAAGAGTCATCTTGAATGAACCTCGAAGGTCCTAAGATTTTGGCTTCAACCTAACTATGTTTGGCTGCATAAATCACACCATGGCATTCTGTACCACAAAACCATTCTAGTATGCCATTTTAATGAATTTTTTGGGTCCTCCGATGCTTGTGTTAAAGCTGAATTGACTTTACTTTTTTCCTCTTTGGTGTTCTGGAATGGTAATTTTCATTCATTCTGCTCATTGGATACACTTTTCACTTAATTTGAAATCATTTCTTCTAAAGTTACATAACACTCTAATCTGTTAATGGTGTGGAGCAAGGAACCAGCAGTTACCAATCTGTGGTAATCTTTGAATCAATATTCATTGCAGTATTTCTGGTTGTGGTAATGTTTGGCTTTGTAAAATCCTTGTAGACTTCATCGCATTCTTCTTCTGCTACTATGTTTTCTTAGTGATTTTGATGGATAAGAATACAATGGTCAGGTGACCTTCATTCATCATTTCATCGGAACTCCACTCCTTTGGCACGCAAGATTTGGACCAATGAAATTAACTTCTCTTATTGTCATTCGTCTTTCTTTATATACATTGGCATTTTGTATGTTAATTTGATAAGAATCTCTGTTCCTTTGGAATCTCCATTCCATAACATTTTCCTTTGTTTCCTTGGCAGCATACCAGGAAATGGTGATTTGCATAAGAGAATAAGAGATCGAAGTAAGCTTTTCCTTTTTAGATTAATTTAACTTTGGTTAAGTTATTATACATACTTAGGCTCGTATTATACATTTAAGGGTGAGAATTAGGGAGATTGAAGAATAATGGTAATACGAGATTATGTACGTAAAAGGGAAAAATGATAATAGGAAAAAAGAAGCGGGTAATAATTGGTATTATAAAGATTTTGGGGAGGTGGTGAAAGTAAGAGGCACGCAATGATAGTTTGGGAATGATGAGAATGGGAAGTACTGGCAATCCTTGTGCATGAAGTTTGCCTACTTCATGCCACAAATATAGGCTTGTAGTCAATTACTAATAATTGCCTTCTTTTTCATCTCTACCCTCTTCCTCCTCTTTAGTCAATTTCCCACATTCCCCACTACTACTGGATAAAATACTTTATTACAACTAAGTACTGGGTTTAACCAGGGACTGCAAGTTGATTCCTAGGTTGCTACTAAGAAGAACAAGGACAAGGACAGATCTGAGCAAAAGTCTGGTCTCTGTTGATTAGTTGAGTCACCATGATTTACCCTGCCACAATCTTGTCGGGCTGGAGTGTTGGTTCGTCTGGAGTGTGCAATTTCATCTTTTGTCACAAGAGATCGGGAACAATGCTTGTACATTCAAGGTTGGCTACTAAGAAGAACAAGGACAAGGACAAATTTGAGCCAAAGTCTGACCTCTGTTGATTAGTTGAGTCATCATGATTTACCCTTCTGCAATCCTGTCGGGTCGCTTGGAGTGTACGATTTCACCTTTTGTCACATGAGATCGGGAACAATGCCTGCACATTCAAGGTTGGCTACTAAGAAGAACAAAGACAAGGATAGATTTGAGCAAAAATCTGATTAGTTGAGTCACTATAATTTATCCATTTATAATCTTGTCGGACCGGAGTGTGGGGTCATCGCTTGGAGACTGGAGTGTGTGATTCTATCTTTTGTCACAGGAACAATGCCTGCACATTCAAGGTTGGCTACTAAGAACATAGGAAGATTAAACAGTTGATTCCTTGTCCTTGTTTTAGAATATTATTTTTATACCACTTAATTTAATTTGATTAAATAAAATTTGTATATCTGTAAAATCTTGGAGAGGATGCGAGTAGTATCTTTTTCCCGTTGGCAACTGTCGGAATCTTTGGCCCCACAATTTCCGGCAGCCCGGCCAATGTTACAGCTTCAAGGCTTTCCCACCCACACATATATATATTTTAAGGAACAAATAAAGTGCATCTTCAAATATGAAAATTACATATTCTGCCCGGGCCTACCAATTGGTAAAGTCCTTATCAACAAATAAAATTCATGTTTAAATTTTATTAAAGAAAAATAAAATAAAATTATGAATCATTTTTTGTTTAAGTATATCATAAGTAAATATATATAATAGTTCTCAGATTATATTAGGGTTCACCGTTCACATATATATAGACAAACTGAAAGAAACTACGGAGTAGAAGTGGTGATGATTAAAGAATTGATAATTGTGATTATTAGTAAATATAAGGGAAAAAGGCACTTTTTCCCCTGTGTTATATACTTATAGCACTTTTTCCCCCTATATTATTTAAGTGACAATTTTCCCCCCTGATATATTAAATGGACATATTTACCCTTAAAATAAATATTTCCTTTATTTTACTTCTCCAACAAATTATAACCACAATTTGAAAAAATAAAATACATTAATTGTTGAATTTAGAATACTTTAAAAATAAAAAAATAAAATTTTAAAATAATGTTTGAACCAACAGTTCAAATTGGATCCGAAATTGTGAAACAACGATTCAAAATAAAAACCAAATCGCGATTATATATACTTATATGTGAGAGTCAATATAAATGCGAAAAAAACATACACTATTTGCAAATATTATAATTCTAATTTTAAGCTATTGCTAGTAGTTGTTCCGATTTGAACCTCTGGTTCACGGTTCAGAATCTATTTTTTTCCACTTCACAATTTTAATAAACGGAAACCCAAATATTGGGTTATGTTATGAATCATAACCGAATTTTTTTTTATTTGATTGCTATAGTGTTCGGTTTAGTTCGAACCGAACCGTGGCCATCCCTACGTATAAACAATAATTTGTTGAACAAGAGAAATAAATAAAATATGTATTTTAAAGGTAAAAATGTCTATTTAATATTATCAAGGGGAAAAACCGCCACTTTTATAATAATTGAAGGGGCAAATGTGGATGCATGAATAACTCAGGGGGAAAAAGTGCTATAAACATATAACATAGGGGGAAAAAGTGCCATTTTCCCTAAATATAAAAGAAGGCAAAGATGACAGGAGTATTAAAAAAAAAAAAAAAAAAAAGATACTATAAATTGTAGTGGGGCCAGTGTGGAAGCCCCACAACCCCGCCATGTAGTCCGGCAGTGCACGCGTAGTCAGGGTGATGGGGCCTACCTCGCACCTCCAATCTCCATGCAAAATTAAATTAAATTAAATTTAAAAAAAAAAAAAAAAAAAAACCTTTTTAGTTTTTACACTCACATTTGTAGCAGTGAATACAACGACGTGGCTTTTCGAGTCAAGTGATGAAGACGCCCATTGGCCATTTTCCCGCCTATTCATCTGCAATTTAAAGGTTAGTACTTTTACTTTTTTTTTTTTAATAAAATAAAATAAATTGTTGTTTAAAATTGTTTCATTCATTGTATTACATGCGAAATTAAAGAAGCATACCTAGAAGACTTAATTTACTGATGCATATCTCAACTGGACAATCAATTTAAAATAAATTCATAAACTTTACTACGTTAACAGTCACAAATTTTTATTATTTAGGGTAATTCATTGAGTTTCTTATCAAAGGTATTCAATTGCCCAAAGAGTCAATACCTTACTACCGAGGTTTGATCAGATCTTCCCTCAAAGGAAGCCACAAAGGTATAATCTAAGCATAAGGTGTTTGGCCAATTATACTATTTGTTTGGCGTTTTCCTTATCTACTAAAATATATAAATGGCAATAAGGGTATTATTTTAATGAAAATGAAAACATGTATTGGTATAATCAGTTCAATTATATAGGGTTGGAGTTCAACCTTTTAAAAGAATTACGGTTAAATTATATATATTGTGTTTATTTTTTTTTATATACTAAAAAATTATTTTCAATTTTAGTCGTTTTTGTTTTTCTTTCTTCTCTAAGTTATTAATCTTGTTAAATGCAATAATTTGTAGGTTCTGTCTCTTTACTTGTACATTTACAAATTATTCTCAATTTTATATTTCTTCGTGCTTAATGTGTGAATGTAATACGTAAAAGTATCATTAATTTACTTTATATTATTTGTTAACAAAACGCATGTAGAGAAATTTAACATAAATATAAATGATATATATATGACAGGGAATATTGCGCAGATCAGAGAAGCAAAAACGTGGAAGTTTATGGTTTGTTTGTCGGGAATTACGTCGGACTGCGCCCTGCCTATCTTTATGCTCTCTTTTGTCTGTCTTTTAACTGTTAACACTTCCTTTTACCTGCATTATAAATGTGATATTGTTGTGGACATTAAGGAGCTTGCACGAAGAAACGATCACCGGAAACTGAAGAGAAGAGATGGACTCGTCGAAGAAGAAAGAAAAAATAATAAAATGACTAAAATATTTTTATTGTTTTATTTATTAATATTTTTTGGTGAGATTTGATCGATAATTTGGCCGGAGTATTAAAATTTATAAAAAAAAATAAAAAAAATTAAGGTACTAAATTAACAGTTTTAAAAACGTCAATTGCAATTAAAACCCCAATAGTGATATGATTAAAATTAAACTTTACTCCAATATTAATAAATGAATGCAAAGGACCCAACTCATTAATTCAAGTCCTCTTTTGCACTTATTTCAAAACTCAATCCAATCCAAACAACTCCATTAGAATTGCTTGGGCTTGAGTTTCGTGTATCAACAAACACATCCAATCTAAACATATGTATATATATATATATATATATATATATATATATATATATATATATATAAATGACTAAACATGTGATCATAATTACAATTACAAATACTTTATATTCAAAATCAATCAATATTTATAAATAAAATTTCAATATACCCTAATATGCAAATGTAGTACTTGACCCGACCCTCATAGTTACTCACTATATAGTAACCTCATATGTTGCAAACCTTTTGTCTTTATTAACCTCTTGAACCCTCATAGTTGTATTGTAAAATTGTGTATGTAACCCACTTTTAACATTAAACAACTAACCATAAGCCAACTTCAATTCAATGGGTTCCCAAACCAACCCTCTAGCACTAATTAATCAAATGACTATCAGCCTAAGCTTAATTCCTAACACCATCCATATTTAGTTTCAGATTGCATTTCCTAATTAGTGGGACCGAATACACCATCACACCCACCACAATGCCACTCCTTTCATCTAACCTACAATTTCACATTCCTCTTCCCATGGTTTAGTAGTTGGGGTGTTACACTTTACACTTGCTTTTAGCAATAGAATAGATGTGAAGCATGTGCTCCATCTCTACTAAAAGTCTAAGCTGATAGTTGGATTGCACATTAATGGTTATATGCTCAACAGTTTGAATCCAAGCAACAGGCAATTTGGTGTTAGGCTGGGATTGGGGTTGTGGTTGATTTTCTTGTGTGCATAAGTGTAAAATCGGGCCGGGTGTAGGTTTCAACGCTGGGCAGACTCGATTTACCTCCTCATTAGCCTAGGAGTGAATTCATAGGCTCCAAAATTGGTAACCACAATGTTACAAGTTTGAATTCCAGCGGGATCGGAGTGGCTTATTGATTTTCTTGATTTTAGCCCGATAAGCTATGGATAACCTAGTCCGGTCTTTTGCTAACTAGGGTTACAAGGTGGGATTTATCCAACACAAACTCTTGGGTTGTAGCCGATTTCCCTCGTTACTCAAAAGATTCGTAACCATAAGGTTTCAAATTCGACAACCTAAATTAATTTACCTCATTGTGATACTCCTCGACCCCGGCCCATTAATTACTTTCTATTCCAACTTCCCAAATCCACCCCAAGTCCCAACCTATACACAAATTAAACTCACAACAACATTTTCTTTCTCCCCAAATACATCCCAACATTTAGCACAATTAGATCACAAAACCATTCACCACAACACACACTACTAGACACATACGCACTACATAGTATTCCCAGCCAAGCATGATGACATGAAATCATGAAAGAAACAAAAACCCAAAAGCAGGCAGAACTGAAGCTCGTACGTAGTATAACATACATATATAAGACGTTCCTACAATCCTATGTATACGATTAGGCTAATGATTATCCAATTAGTCAGTGTATTATCCTTTTTGATTTATGATTCCCATCCCCTTTAAGGCCACTTGCCCTTCATTCCGTTTTGGCTGGTGGGATCGAGTAGCTTGTAAGACTAATAATCAGCAGCGATTGACGTAAATAATAATCCAATACATATGAAATTGAAAGTCATTGTACTTTTTGTCGCAAAACCCCAAATATAAAAGAAGAAAAGAAAAGTGAATAATGCTTTGTGTGTATAAAAAAACATAATAAAAAAAGAGGGAGTAGGACGAGCGTTATGGAGTTGGAAATGATGAGGTTGTGGTAATGATGGTGGGTGGGGCAAACACCAAGAATTAAAAGTAGAGAGGAAACAATTGAAGCTAACTTAGTATATATATATAGCAATGGAATATTTAGGGTTTGATGACATGCAGAGTGAGTGTGCATTGCCCCCCGCCCCTTTTTTTGTTCTTTCTCTCTCTTTCTCTCTCTCTATATGTGTGTATGTATATGTCAATGTTTTCAGCAACGTTAGAAAACGAAACCCAATATGTTGCTGCTCTGTTTGCTTTGATTCTCTAAAGCGTGCCTGCGCCGGATGGCATTCTTGTATATATAGATAGATGAAGGTCTAACCATGCATGACTTAGAATTTTGTGTCATACTCCTCCCATATATATAGGCTCTGTTTGGTAAAATGACTGTTAGCTGATAACTGTTAGACTGTTAACTGATTATGTTAATTAGAGGGTATAAATAATTGATAACATTAGCTGATTGCGGAAAAATGATTGGTAAATTAGCTGTTAGTTGATAGCTGTTTGGTGTACTTTCTTTTCTCAAAAAGCTAATTGAAAAAGTTGCTTGGAATAGCTTTTTGAATTTTAGCCTTTTGGAGTTGCAAAAGG